CCCATATACTAATTAGGAGGAATCAACGCCAACCAGCTTGTATACTTATTCCAACTGGGAACTCATAATGGCAGTGCTTGAATGCGCACTTGTGTAGCATACCAATGCAACACCACTACGACACCTTCCTTGATATGGTCCGTCTGACTAGACTTGGTGCTAACGCACCAGAAGGAGGATGTCGGCGACATCAGGTGCCTGGCGCCGCTTAGCAGTAGGGACCATATAGTTATCACTTTTATGTTTAGGATTCACGCTGTCATATATAGGTCAGCAGCTGTTCATTTGGAAGGCGAATATACCTGCAATTCGAAATGCAGCGATCCTAGCTGACTGGGCTGTTGATACATACCAGGCTACCGAGGAAGCTTGGATGGAATTTAGGAATACACCAGGTTTCATCCTTGCACCCTTTGTATCTTAGTCTACGCCTCGAAAACTAGCGGAAAAGCCATATTGGATTATTATTGAAATACGGGGGTTATTAAAAAACGAATGAACTTATGGGACCGGTTTACTGTGACTGGGGGGCATGAGTTTCCGATGGAATACCACAAAATTCGAAACTGTGTAGCTGACCGACAAAAGTCGCATAGAGTATGAGAGACAGTTAGCACTGGATTGTGTGCATTATCCAAAAGGGCTGTACTCGTGTATCAAACGTAGGACTGAAACTAGCAGTGCTATACCGTCCCTCATAAGCAGTACTGGAGATGCGGGTGAGTTAGATGGAGCAAAAGCTGAAGAGCTCCTGGAATACTCTTGTGATGTCCTTTTTTCCAGTCGCGCCGCTCAGGGATGTGGCGAGGTCACTGATGTAGCTGTGGTAGAGGATGCAGTGGTTCTCAAACTGCTGTCTAAAATGAAGCCGGGTAAATCGCCTGGACCCGACGGACATAACCCTGGACTGCTAATATCCTTGGCGGATATAATATACATCCACTTACGGAAATTTTTCAGATGTCTCTGACCCAGGCTGGGCTACCTAGGGACTGGAAAGATGTTTTATAAGTCCCATCTTCAAAGATGGGAACAGGCAGTTAGTATGTAACTACCGGCCTGTAAGTCTGACGTGCATTACAGCAAAGGCATTTGAAACACTCGTAAGAGATAAGCTCCTAGTTTATATGAAGAAACATGACTTGCTGACTGTGGAACATCACGGATTCCGACCAGGACGATCCTGCATGACAAACTCACTGTTGGTTCGGGGAGATTGGGTAGAAGCCAGAGATAAGAACAGTTCAATGGACATTGTTTTTATCGATCTCAGTAAATAGTTCGATAAAGTGTCCCATTTACATCTTCTTAGTAAACTCAAACATCTTGGATTAGACCAACGCCTATGTGAGTGGTTTAGAGACTACCTGATGGATAGAAGGCCGAAGGTAAGGGTTAATGGTGGGGTGAGAAGCAGTACTAAGTAGAGTGGCTCACAGAACTGTACTTGACCTCCTAATGTTTCTATTATACGTAAATGAACCACCGAAAATTCCTACTTCATCTTCTTTATTAGTTGCGGAGGATAATAAGATATGGAAGACTGTAAATGACGACGATAGTAGTTTGTTACTACAAAACGACCCTGACAAATGAGGTGAATGGGCTCACTTCTAGAGTCTGGAAATCAATTTCAAGTAAAGCGCTGTAATGCGCCCAGGTCAGAAGTCTTACACGTCTCACTCCCTGTGACATTGAACTACCATGTGTTAGGGGACAAAAGAAATTAGGAATTATCGGAAGCCATGACTTATAAGCAACGGTAAATTGTAATCGAGCCGCATGTAGGGCTTTTCAAATGCTATGGGCACTAAGGAGTGCTTTCAAGCGACTAGATGGGGGTATGTTCCAAGTACCCTATGCAACACATGTCAGATCTAATCTAGAATACTGTATACAAGTGGTGAGTCCATGCTTCATAAAGGAGGAACATACACTGGGAAGAGTACAAAGGGTATGAAGCTAATAAGTTTTCAGTGTCTCATACCTCCCTTTTGATGAGAGCAAGGAGCATTTAAATCTCTTCCCGTTATCATACCAAATGAGAAGAGGCGACTTAATTTTTGCATGCGTATGTTTAAGGGTGATTTAGGGACTGACCTTTCAAACCTTTTCTCTCCCCCCTTGGATACATTTACGAGATCACCACTAGGTCCCCAGACCGAGGTCGAATAAAATACTTGTGGGATTTAGATTCCCCCACAGAGTGGTCGACGACTGGAACTCATTGCCTGGTCCAGCAGTATCAGCTCCATCGGTGAATGCTTTCAAAGATAAACTAGATCTCTGCAAGATATATATCGCAAGGATTAACATAGATCACAAGTGCCTTCCATCCCTATAACCTAAATCTATGTATGTGTACTATATATACATATCAACTTCAAATTTTATTACCTGTCTGTTTTTACGTTTTCTTTTTCTTTTTAAATCTATATAACGTACACTAGTTATATCTGTTATTATCTCTTTTCGCTATAAAACTGGACAACTAACAGGTTGAAAGATCAGCTCTATTCGAAAAATCAACATGGTCTTAATGTACCGCATACTACAAACTATATATGATTAATATTAGCACCACTGCTATTGGAGTTAACAAAAGCTACGACGATCTTGTGGTCATACTAACTACGCAAAAGTTTACCGAAGACCAGGAACCTTTTCCGCAACATCAAGAAGAGGGCACAATGAAATGAAATAAGCCTACACTAACTCGAAAAAAATGATATTGCATTTTGTAGGTCGTCATAAGAGGTATTGTACTGGATTGTACAGGCAACTAAATAGTAACGAGGATATTACCCCTACAGAACATCCAGATTACATCGCAGAACCAACACGCGAAAACCTGCTGGGGACATTTCAAATTACCCCGGCTATGGTACTTGCAAAATTGGGACGGTTGGCTTCGGGAAAGTCTCCAGGTTGTGATGGCATCAGACCATCTGTCCTGAAGCAGTGTTCAGAAAGTCTCTGTCAACCCCTAAGTGATCTGTTTCAACACTCCCTTGATGTAGGGAAACTTCCATGTGAATGGAAACGTGCAATCCTATCCCCTATCTTCAAGGGTGGTGACCGGCAGAATGTGACCAGTTACAGACCAGTTGCTCTACTTCCAGTGGTATCGAAGATATTGGAAAGTCTCATTGACGACCACATGAGAAAATACTTCGATGGGACTAACCTTCTTCACGAAGCACAGCACGGTTTCAGGAGGGGAAGATCCTGCGTGACGAATCTTCTACTAGCCTGGAACGATTGGACACTAACCTGGGACAAAAAGGTACCAGCCCACGTGATCTTTCTCGACTTTGCGAAAGCATTCGACACAGTTCACCATGGTCTGCTCCTTCACAAAATAGGCAAGGCGGGAGTTTCTGGAGCACTTCTCGCATGGCTGACAGATTACTTAGGCGAGAGAGAATTCTGCACCAAAGTCAACCGCATCCGATCATCTTGGCACACCTCGGCATCAGGGGTTCCTCAGGGTTCTATCCTAGGGCCGTTGATGTTTTTGATTTTTATCAATGACCTGCTCCCCCAACTAAACTGCTCTGCGCTTCTTTACGCTGACGACGTAAAGATTTGGAGAGCAATAAACTCATCGGAAGACTCAGATAGATTGCAGGCTGACCTGCAAACTCTGGGAAATTGGGCTTTGGCTAACGGAATGCCTTTCAATCTAAAGAAGTGCAAAGTAGTGCAGCTTCATTCCGGCAGGTCACAGAGTGTAAATTACACCCTTGGTGGCCAGAACTTGAGTTGTGTTCCATCAGAGCGTGATCTAGGTCTTATTCTAACAGAAAAGCTAGACACCAGTGGAAATTACTCGAGGGACGTCGCCAAAGCCTACGCAACATTACACTTTATGCACAGGCAGCTGGGAGCTCTCACTCCCGAACTGTTCTTAAGGCTATACAAGGCATATGTGAGGCCACACCTTGAGGTGCATAATATCATTGCACCTCCGCTACTCAAAAGGGATGCTAACATTCTAGAAAGTGTCCAGAGACGAGCGACAAAATGGGTGATCGGCCTCCGCAACAAATCATATGAGGAAAGACTAAAGAAATTAGGTCTTTTCACACTTAGTTACCGTAGGCACAGGGGAGACCTCATCACCGTCTACAAGATCCTAAATGACCAGGCCCACCCAAATAAAAGCATCCTGCCATTAAGCGATTATAGGCTTCCACGAGGTAACCCGCTAAGGATAGCACACCAGAGACCAAAGACTCGAGTGCGATCACATTTCTTTTCGCTTCGTGTTTGCCGTCTCTGGAACGCTTTACCGGCGGCCGTGACTACAGCGCCATCTGTGGAGATTTTTAAGCGGAAGCTAGACAATCATGCAGAAATGCAAGGTTTGTGTCTCAATGGCTTATCCTCATAAAATTTGAAACCAAACTGTCAATGAATAAGCGTACTAACTAAATCCCCACGACCTATTCTGCCTTCTCTCACTCTGTCTTTTCCTTATGTCACCTTTATTATTCCACTTATCTCAACCTATATTATCTACACTACAACCTATTATTATTATTATTACTATTCTGCTTTTATGACTACACCGAATGACCAAGGGGAGTTAGGTCAAACTCCATTCACGGCAGCAATACAGTCCTAACATACTGCATACTACAAACCACATCTCGACCAATCCCCGCACCACTCCTCCTGGAGTCTACCAGAGCTAAAGCAGTCGAGTGTCGGGACTTACTACGCAGAAGCTCACCGAAGATCTGGAACCTCTACCTCACAATCAAGAAGCGAGCTCAAAGAAATCACTGGTTTATACTAGCTCGTCATCAGGATATTGGATATTGGATATATTGGTAATGCACCGTTCCACTTTCAAATAGGTTCGTTACTGGCTGAGTTAGTATATTCCAGCCAATTATTTGCAGTTCTTTTTATAACGTCTTTCAGTTTAGACTAGTGCCTGTTGCAATCAGTTGCAATTAATAAATTGGATATTTTATATTTGTAGCCTGAAAATGAGAAGTGAAAGGGTCGTTGTACCTGGTGATCTAATATGCTCCTCTGATGCTAGCCGAAAAAGTGGCTTATCTACATATGTTTGCTCTGGGAACATCCTGTCAAGTGCTTTTGGATTTGTCAAGGAAGAATCGCATGCCGATGGAACAGTATAACATATTTTTAACATGCAGTTATTATTATTAATAGAAAACTTATTCGGTAGACCCTCTGAAACCCGCTGGCATAGTGCCTAACATAGGCTCACTGGTATTGGCAAAGGTGAGTTGCTCGTTTACACGATTTATGGTCAGTTATTGTGACAGAAATGAAATTTCAAAACGGTCAGGATGTGATGTTGGCTTATTTTGTGCTTCTTATGTGGTTACGAGTTGCCAGACCGAAGGCTGTTGCTAATACATAGTCATTAATTATTGATATCACCGTTGTGTGGAGATAGGAGTTACTGTCTGAAAATCACAAGAGATTCCTATATATATGATATAGAATTGTTTGCAATAACGGTGTGTTTGCTATCGTTATCATAGTGATTCCATACCGAATATATTAATTTATGACACAGTGATACAGATTATGACTGTATAGCGATAGATTGAAGTTTTTTGCCTACACATTAACACTTCAGTATGCTCAAAGACGGCCCGGCCTAATAAGCAATACACCGGCTTTTTGTCCTTCTTGGTCTGCCCTTTTTGGCCTGTATTTTCGCTATTATTTACTAATTGCACTCGACATGTCCTATGAATTCATCTGAACTATTAGGTTTTGATGGAAAACGGAGTATGAAGGAAATTATATATATATATATATATATATATATATATATATATATATATATATATATATATATATATAAACACAAACGTGGGTGGGAAGTTCAACAAAAACATGTATGTGTACATATGTATTATTTTCCATGTCCATTATAAAAAAATGACATTTGTTACACTTAAAAAGGATCAATATAATTAATAATCATTCTAGCGTATCATCGGACTTCACAGTTGAAACTTCTCTTATTTTGTGGGGAAGACTTCGACTCTGGTGATTTGCAGCAGACGGCTCGTAAGTATTTGGTTTTCCAAATGAATTTTGTAGGGAATACACGAATGGGTCCTACTTTTAAGTCTTGTTGTGTATGGAAAACGATTCTACTCAGAATCAACTTTACATTGGTTTTAGGTTTTCACTGAAGTAGCTCATTTTGCATTGTAATGCAGTTTTTTCCTCATGGTTGACGTGTGCTCAAATAAGTAAGATATTAGCGTCTGTAGCATGCATTTATAATCTTTAACAAATTTCACTCTTTTAATCTAGGTCTCTAGTATTACGTGGAGATTCGTTCGCTGTGATATAGTTGCCGTTGGGGATACTTGTCTTGCAGGACCGTTCAAAGGTCTTATTAGACGAGAGGATATTCGTGCTACTCAGAGGGATCAAGCGGAACCAGCTGATTGTTTCAGACCAGGGGATATTGTCCGGGCTCGTGTAATCAACCTTCTGGGACCCGGAGCATATGCAAATGCTGGTTCAATTATGTCTAGTACTTCGTCCCAGACCTTATCTACTTTGTTATCTACTCAGGCTTTATCTTGTTCTCTCGCTGCCACAAGTGACGCAAACTTGGGTGGATCTAATTCTGTATGTCTTTTATCTACTGCGGAACCGAATTTGGGAGTTGTTCTTGGTCTTGGAAGGTCTCCTGAAAATAATTTGTTAGAACTTCTTGGCAGTACAAGTGGTTCTCCTCTTGTCCCTGTTGGATGGACTGAAATGTTGTGTCCCCAAACACTAGCTCGATATCATCGAAAAGTCGCTCGTGTACCTGATGAACTTGTAACTCAGTTGACTTGTGCTAAACTTGAATAAATTATTTTAAATAAATTTCGTTCTGGTTTTTAGAATTATGTAACTTGCATTGTGTTGCATTTTTCTGTTGTGCTGATAACACTTCGGAGGCTGTGTTCAAAGTCTTGAGCAGATTTGCTTCATACTCTAATTTCTTTTTATGATTAACTCTAATATATGTTGGTTTTCTCTTTGTAGAATGGAATTTCAGGACTTGATGTACCACACCGTTGTATGCTTTTTCTCAAATTTCAAAGGTATCTAGATCTTAAGAATGACACAATGGTGAGCTAAGTAGTTCTAGACCTAGTTGAAGATAAATTCACCAGCCACTCACTTTTTCGCGAGGCGCTGAAGTATGAGTATACCTGCTTGTATTTCAGTTATATTCTGCATCTTCATCGTGATCATCAGTCTGAAGTGTTGAGAAATTTCGTCGAACTCTGAGAATATAAAAAAGACGTATATTGTGATCACTACTTACCAAATGCTCTGTGCAAGCTTGTTGACAATTATTCTAGATGTTCATTACCATTCGACTCTACTACATCCAAAGATATTGATGGTAGCGTGTGACTGTGCTAGAAGTAGTAGTGCATGCATTAACACTTAATTGTACGCAGAGTATTTATCTGAAGATAATTTGACTTAGTCCGCATTCAACTCACCTTGTCTTATGCCCGATGTGCCTTTTCTGATATGTATTACGCGAAATACGTAATTGTGTTATGCGAAAATAGCGAAGAAATATGTATAATTTGAATGTTTTCCTCATCCTTCGTCTGTAGAAGAGTGCTGTAGGACCGATCAATTAAAGCACCTCACAAAGTTGAAAGTATGTGGTACACAGTTCCAGAATGGCTAAAGTTGTTATAAAACTAAAGGATAGTTTGATACAAAGAAAAAAGAAACTAAGCAAGAAGGAATGTATTCATAGGATAAAAAGGGCTCATTTTATTTTTCCCTCAGTAACTAACAGTCTAAAATATCACATAAGTTATTATAGGTGTAAATGCTTCGAGATTCCTTCATTTCAAAGGGTATGCAACAATTTTTAGCACATTTATAGAATAAAAAGTATGGATGTAAAATAGTTAATAGTCAAATAACTACAGTTTATAAATATGCATGTTGGGAAGTCTAACAGCTATCAGGAGATGGACGGAGCAAATAGACATGATAGGAAAAAGTAAAGTTACTACTTTAGCAGGCAATTAAGTGTACCTGAATCTTAAAATTGAGCCACTGAAAACCGAAATCAGGTAAAGCTTATAAAACAACGCAAACGTCTAGTTATCATGGTAGTGCTGGGTTAATCACAGTCTTACAATATGTATTCGTTCTTGCTTTGTTTAGAGCAATCAGATGGACCAAGTGTGCGGAAGAAGGGATAATGCAAACAAATTAAATCCTAATAGTAATGAATGGTCCTTTGAAATCAGCGTATAAGTAAAAGACAGTGCAATCTTTGTGAGGTTCACAGTAATAGTCTGTAGTGATGGTTTTCCAGTTACCCTAAGTATCCGTCCTGATAATCATCTAATTAATTCTTTTTACTAACGTGGTAACATCTAAGCCATATGACAACAGTGGACTAGACTTCTTTATCAGAAAATAATCACTTGGTGATTATGGCTCATGAACTCTATGTGGCCGATGACGTTACTAGTTATATTGAAAAGCTTCGACTCGGTGGTCGTTTATAAATTTCTATATTATTAAAAAAATTGTGCTAATGAAAACTCTCCGTTGAGATTAGTTTGTTTTCTAAGCATAGCGTCACAAAATTCTATTAGAAACAATACAGGATAAGTCAATTTTTATGTTTGCACTTACTCATTATATCCTAGGTGGTATAAAATTGTTTTGATTAAGGTTCGTTCCCTTGTTATTCATCTAAAAAGACGGTGCTTAGTAGCAATGCTGTATATAAGTTTCATTGTATAAAAAATGCCTTGGAACAGTAGTTCACCACAGCTCTGTGAATTTCTGACGTAATTGAAGGTTAATTCATTGGGTCCTAAAACTGTCAACTAGAAACAAATATCAGTTACCGTATTATTCGTTAATATTGAAGTGTTTAGTACTCGTTTAGAATAGCTGTCTGTTGTTTCAATGGTGTTTCACCTTATTGAGACCATCACATACAGTAGCTAAAATCCGGTGTTATTTAGGCATTTTGTAGAAGGGAATTCGCTTCATATGCATCACTGTGCAATTTTTTCCGGTAATTACTCAACTACCTCGACTCTCATTGGATTTTACGTTGTTGACCTTGGAATGTTGGTGTTAACTCCATAAAAATAGCAAAGTATAATAATTATTATTTCTGTTCCACTGGGTTCCGAGTAGGACATAGGACTTCAACAACACATCTTCACTTCTACTTTCTGCCGTACTCTTTAGCTGGATCCACGATTACTCAAACTCTCTCATCTCTTCCTTACACGATCTCCTCCATGTCACCCTCGGATGGCCCATTCGTCGCTTCCCATTTCGATCCCACTCGAGGGCATGATGCGTGATGTCATTTGACGACAAGGAAATAGGAAACCGTAATCAAGAGATGGCGAACTTAGGCAGATAGATGGACACAAATCCTTGTGTATAGTATGTGAAGCGTCTAAAGATGGAAAAATAAAAAAATGTATTTATGTGGGAAAATTTCGGATTAATTACAAGTGATAATTTTCAAGATGTTATTGTAAACGATTTCGATCCATGTCACCAAGTTTTTGCAACAGAATGACGGCTCCAACAAAACACTATACACTTTCACGTCAACAGTAAAGGACTTTAATGTGGTCTAGCCATCCATAATTCATTTCCTATTTGAATTTGACATAGCTAACTTTGCCTGTTGAGGAAGGCCATGGTTCAACTTATGTTAGTGCATATCTCAGCTACTCCAACTAATTCACATTCTCACCGTCTGACTTTCTTTCGCCATCTCACACTTAACATTTCTAATCATGTGATTCTAAAACACGTGAGGAATGTCACGAATCATGTCGCTTTTGTGTCTTGGTTTCAGAGCTCGAAGCCAGTGTATAAAGTGGAGCATAGTAAACTGCCGCACAATATATCTTCCCTTTGATAAGCTTTCGAGTACCTCGCCATAATCGATAATAATGCAAATTTACAGATGTTAAGTGGGTCTTTTTCGTCTACAACTGCTTTACTTGTGGTTACATGTCCACTCACACTTCTTTGCGAGCTATCACATCCTTGTATTTTATCAACATCTTGATCCAAAGGAATTATGCTGTCTGTGTCCAATAAACCAAATAGCTTTTTTCCAGTTAGCATTTTCACTTCTGAGGTTGAAAATCTAGAATATTACTCAACAGCCACTTGTATTCCCATGTAGTTGCCAATAAATAACACCTACTGTGTGAGCTAGTGATGCTATCTGGCTGCCCGAACCCCAAGTAAAGCCAGGTTCGAACATGTAACACAGTTTATAGAAGCCGGTCTCCTAGGTTAGCGAGCCGCATTTCCGAGATTTTGAAGTTAGATAAACTTACCCCCCCCTTTGAACATCTACGATAAGACTGAAGAAAAAAGGTACTACTGAACATACGTAGTGGACCTTGTCGGTAGTTGCTGTTCGGAATGGAAAACTTCTGTTAGGTTTTTACACGATTATGTAAGTTCGAGTAGCGTTCTGAAGAACAGAATATCAAGTTCTCTGGATCCCGTCCTCATACCAAGATTTTTTCACAAAACTAAGTTTGTAGAGTTAGATTCTACCTCTAGATCTGAAAGTGGTAATTACAGTCAGTATATATGTCTGCCTCCGTTAAGGGGTGAAAACTGGATCCATTCATCTTTCTCAAGCCTTAAGTCTGTCTATGTTTCTCTTTTTAATCGTTCCCAAACTCTGTTGAACCTTCAGGCAACTGAATTCGCTAGAATCAAGCTGATCATCATATGGATGTATCGGGAATATTTGACATTTTCGTATACTTTGCGACTGCTGTCGATGTTTTAGAGACAGTTGGACTGAAACATGATAAAAATCCATGAAGTTTTTAATTTTTGCTCTGAGCCACTTAAAGAACTGTAGACTACTTAGGTGGATCACTTGAGATGCTAGGAATTATTCGTTGGAGACTGTTGGTGACATTGCTCAAAATTAACTCAACAAATCGGTATCTTTGTTGGGGAATTGAAATCATTTTCATTGTGTCATTACCGTTGGGCGCTTTTGTTAGTGAACATCAGTAGCTTTTGGTAAAACTCGTTCTTCACTTCATTCATTCACTGGGCGAGTAGAGTGAGGATAGATATACATAGTAGCAAGCATAAAGGATCATTTTTTGCATTATTACTCAAAGTCTTGGCTGTGTAAGAAGTCGTTTTCAAGAATGTGAATTCGACATTAAGTTTCCGACTAGTAATAGTCTTGATACCAGAGTTGTTGGATGAATATTACTTTATATCTGGGTACACTCACACTTTAGAAACATTTCAGACTCCATACAGCACGCAGTTTTCCAGTTATGAGGATAACAGCATTATTACAACGTAGTTCGTGAGACGCACGTTTACAGAATAGTATTTTCAAATGGTGATCCCTACAGTTTTTGAATGAAGCAGGATATTTAAGATACCAATAAATCTTATTCTAATTTCTTCGAATTCGAGACCATAGTTTTCAGTACTGACATCTGCAGACTTGATTGTGATGTAAACATAGAGCATACTTTATATTTTCTGGTGAACTGATGTTTACGCGTGTTTGTTTATGTCGCAAATTTGGTCTCTTCCACAATCTACTTCTCTTTCAGCTTACAATGAAGCTTCACCTGTTACCATCTCCTTTTGAAGATCTATTAATTTCATGCGGTGTGTTTAAGTATTCAGGATGACTATTTTGTATTTTTCTTTGATATAAATGAGTGTATGTTTAAAGTGTTTTCACTTCTGTCCCCTTTGTAGGCTGGGGTTCGAACTACGGAACTAGCCGCTATTCTTTGTGCGACCTTTGAAAATGTTCAGGGAACTGTAATAGCATATCAGTATCCACCAAATTATGTCTCTCCTGTATGTCTCTCGTTTTCTATTTATCAAACTAATCATTATGCTTAAATATATGAGTAACCATAAAATATTTTTATCTCATGATAGTGTTTTGTGATTTCGGTATAGCTGATTCGCTTAAGCACTCTACTTTTTAGCCAGTGGTTCTCACGTTCACATCTCATTCCATCTCCTTTAGTCTGGTCAACAGGGTGTTATCGTCAACTGTCACACAATAAGTGTGGCTCATATCCTAATACATGGTGGGCCCATTTTGGATAACTGAGTTCTTAAAGAAAGGAAGAGCAATTTAGGCTTTTTCTGAGTCGTTTGGTTTAATAGTCACTTTAAAGGAGTTTTTCAACCTTGTTTGTGTTGTAAGTTTATTGAGCAATCACTATATATCATACTTATTTTTGATTTTTTAACCTATGAACTACCATTTTGCTAACCCAGTGACTATGTCAAATAGATCTACAAATTCAAAGATCTTTGTGGATTAAATTTGATTTTCATCCCTCTGTGAATGTAATCACTCCAGTGCAAGGCATGTAGGATGTGTTATTTATTAGAATTATTTTCATTGATAGTACGAAATATACTTTAAATAGCTTATGAATGTTATAGCTTTTTTTCTTCCTTTCACAGACTCAGTTTAAAGAAATTGGAAATGCTGTCATTCCACGAGCTGAACTGGCCTTTCGATTAGTCACTATAGAAGCATTTAAACACTATGTTATCGGTTGTTTACAACGCATTGAAGGTGTTCAGTATAAAAGGAATACCTTGCAGTTTAACATATGTCTAGTAATTAAGCCTAGATCAACCCCAGACAGAGATGATATATCACATTGGCAGTTCTGGGATGATCAATCTGCTGGTGGCCTGAGACCCAATGTTCAAGCAGCCTATGAAGCTTTAACACTAAAGATAAATAGATATTTTTACTCTTTAGAAGAACAGTGTGCTTTCCTGTCTCGGGCTTTGGGACATCATGATGGTGCAGTGAATTCTGTTAATTTGCCGTGTCTTGATTCAATTTATAAACAGTTACACGAATCAGGGATGTGTATCATTTCATTTCCGAATTGCGGTTCTCTTTACTTACGTGTACGTATATATTTTTTGTTATTCTAGTCAGTATTTTCAAGATAATGTTTTTAATGCTGTCCAACAGCATCACATAGCTTCTGACGCACAGCCTACCACGATATTTAGTTAGTCAGTCAACGAAAATAAAGTGTTTCATCTGGAGAACAGTTCTGTTGTGAAATAGAATGTATAACCCATTTGATGATTAGACCTTACACACTTAACCTATAGACTTTACGATTTGAAGCTAGTTGTTTACTAAGAAAATAAATAAATCTAGTCAGTTGATTGGTCTAAACTAATGGGCATAGGTAAAATAAAGTGTAACTAGGTTCAGCATCCATGAAATAGCTTTGGACTCTTAGTAGGTATCTTATTTTTTTATTGATTTCATAAGTCTCCTACGCCTATAAAATTTATCTGTGATCACAACCGCTAAATTATATACCGACTGTGTGTTAATATGCTTAATTTATGTTTATTAAGCCAGTTTATCTGTAGTTAATCATTCTGTGAGTTGTAATGCTAGGTCATACATACGCACAAATGCTGTCTGACTTCCGTCACCTATCAGATAATGCAAACGACTGCTACAGTAGAACCTAGTTCGTATAAAAGTTTTAGGCTAAATATTTGTTAGTCTGAAGAATAAACTAATCCGTTTGTCTGGAAAGCAATCAGTAACACATATCTCGTAATCCCAAAATTAAATTTTAGTGTATTTTGTTTCCTACCAACGTCCTTGATTGTGGCTGCCCCCTCTCCAGGCTCGCCATGAAGACATCCGCTAGGAGACCATATGGCGAGACTGCATCCCTTTGGTTATAGATGACATTAAATCTAAATTGCACATTAGGCGTACATCTCAATAAAAGCTGCTTTAGATATTCGGCACTCCAATATTTATACATTCTAGATCAATGTAATCACATAAATAACAAATAGTTTCTACTAATGGTACATTTGTAAATAACAAGCCAACATCTAATGAAATCATATGCTTACCGGTCACAATGATTCCATCAACGCAACTGACGAAGTTAAAAGTGTTTGAAAGACTATGTTTACGTAGATTTGATCTTACTGGTTCAAGGATCTCGGGGAGCCATTTTGCTGTAGAATGATACGGAGAGCTAGGCATGTCCAATATAGGTCGCAGAGGGACATCATCTTTATGCACATTAGGAAGACCATATAAACGAGGGATGGTTGAACCAGACGGCTTGGGGCATTCATGCATATACAAAGTAATAATAGATTCGTCCTTCAACTTCTTCAAAGTTCTTGACAATTCATTCTCAATACCTTCTGCTCCATCTTGCTGGTTGGTTGATTTTAAAAACGTCTTCGTCGTCGCAAGGAATGGTACATAATTTGTTGATGTAATCATTTAAATTATCTTTATTCTTATCATATGTACAATAATGAATGAGCAATTTATAGTGCTCCTTAATGCCTTTTTCCGTAATTTAAATACGACTGTACAGCTTGAAAATGAGGTCGTTCAGATGAGATATTTCTTCGTTGAACAAACATTTGTGTTTATCATTGTGAATTAATCTTATAATTTATTTCCACAGTATATTTGCATATGCATTAAATGATTGTTTCACATGTCGCCTATATAACTCAAATATCTCTTAATAGATATGCTATTTGCATATGCACCACTGTGCGTCGATGGCACAGTGGTTAGGACTCTCGCTGACCATGCACATTGTCCGTGGTTTGATCCCCTCCTGACGCACACCTGATATCTATGGTCAGCCTGCAAAATTTGGGCTACCGATATCACATGCTGAAAATTGCATACTTATACCAAAAATACAGTGTGGAATCAAGCTGTAATTAAAAAGTGTATGAATTGGTGGACTGATTGGGCGCTGTTGCTCAATCCTCTATATGATGTGTTGTCTAATGAAGCTACTATTTAATAATTATGATTCATTTCAGTGAATGAAGTTCTTTGCAAACTAATACTTATAGATTCATTCAGTATTTGTAAAAGATCGTTGCATTAAATATTTTTATTTTGATCACACAATTGTTAAGATTGTTGTAATTGACATATTTTTTTCTATTGTCTTTATTTTATTAGTTCAGTCCTCGACAAGATCGAGGATCATATAGTAACCTGTCGTTTGATACATCTGAACTTGTTCATGAACATATTACAAACAGTGATACTGAATTGAAATTTGATCAAAAAATTAGACAAATCAATCTGCATTATAATAATCAACTTGTTTTTCCTAATTTCAATCCTCAAACTGAATCAGAAGTTACTGACGATTGTGTATTCGTTTTAATCGCTTCACCGTCGTATAAGTGTCATTCAAAATTAGGATATAATATGAGTGGTGGATGGAGGCCTTTGGATGCAGTTGCTCAGCGTATTTTGCCTTATATTGATGGTAAACGGCGTTTAATGGAGTTAGCTCATTTGGCTCAATTGGATGTCACTATAGCTCGTTTATGCTTAATTGACCTTGCTCGAATAGGAGTTGTACGTTCGTTACCATATCCCACATTTTTGGTACCATCTTTACAAGTTGAAAGATTTTCTAATATGAATCTTATCCCCGGATGGTTGGGTTTACCACGATTAGCAACTTTACTTACAGATTACAACCTTAGCAGAATTTGCTTAGAAACGGTAGTAAGTATTTACTTTTTTGTAATGGTTAAACTGCAATTTTATTCTTTTATAAAGATTGAATTGTTGCGTATACAAGTTTTTCATATTTGGTTTGTAAGGATTAGTTTTGTTTTTACGAGTTGATCACTAGTTGATATCAGCCAGAGAAGCACTGAAAACCAGGGAGTACTGGACAGCCGTTCCATGGGCCATTGAATCGGCTCCCAGTGGCTGAATAGAATACGAGCTTGCCTTGTAGCTGGAAGCTCCTGAGTTGTAACCCCAGTGGGTGCGTGCTGCCGATGATTCCCAAACTTGGGTGAAACAGCTGTTCAGTACTCCCTCGTTTTCAGTGCTTCTCTAGCTGATATCAATCCGTGATCCACTCGTATACAAGTTTACCAAATAAATGATGTGGTTGCTAAATATCCGAGCCGACGTTACGACTATTGGAATATCATGTAATGAATGACCTAATCACTAAAAGAGAATTACGTCAGAAACGTAAGTTTATTTTTGTTATTGAATAGGGGAGTAAAACACAGCCGCGAAAGTTTCTAATCATGAACCTTCAATAGATCTTTATTACGAGATTTTTTCTTCGTGCTACTTCTAGGTAAATTTAGTGTGCTAGGAGCAATTTTATTTTCTTAAAAGACTGAAACGTGTTTATATTATTATTGTTTCTTTTAATTCCTAGAGAAACATAGGGCTTCAGCTGCATATCTCCATTGCGTTCGGTCCTCTGCCAACATTTTCACCTGGATCCACGTCTGCCCACATGCTTTCATCTCTTCTTCACATGACGTCTTCCATACCACCCTCTCACTGACGACCAACTCGCCGCTTCCGTTTCGGGTTCCACTCGAACGATGGGCTGTCGTGTGATGTCACTTGATGGTTTTCTCGGAGTATGGCCAATCCACTTGCATTTCTTCCTGCATATTTGTTGCATGAAACGTGCTTACTGAACATTAATGTAATGGGTGAAGCCGCTAAAAATGTAGAATAAATTTGTCTGCACATTTATGATCGTTTATTATTGAAATTGCTGTGATGCAAGGAGTTTCTGCTCACTCCTGCCTTCATATGCAGTGTCATGTGGGAAATAAAAAAATCACTAGCTTAATATTTAACACCTTTATTATGTGGCTGTTAATGGAGTTTAGGATTGTTAATGCGTTAAGACAGCATTTAGTTAGTCATAACAAATGAGTATTGTTATAGCATACTAATGAGTAGTTAAACGGAGAAGACAAAAAATCCCTATTCAATTTATTTCATCATTCATAAGAAGTAAATTGTGAACACAAATTATCTAGAATAAGGAACTGAGTAGTTCATTTGTCCTTCTGTCAACCACTGTCTGTTTTTCGGTCTTCTGCACTGATATAAAACATACCCAACTTCGGCTATCAGTATGACCAATCATCTTGCTACTGAAGTACATTATCATCATTCCTCTAGATAATATCACTATTTCCAAGTATTGGTTCTCTGACTGATGTCAGCTCATGATGAAATCCTCCATACAATATCACTGTTATTGGCTTTTCCTTATGATTAATTCTAGTTTCTTAAACTGTTCACAAGTTTTCGCAGTCATGATGTGAATTTTAGGAGTCAGTTACTACTGAGGAGTTTAGGATTCTTGGTTTAGGTTTACAACATGACAGTTTACAGTAGTCGATGATTGGTTAACGCATATACTCCTTCTCTTTTACGAACGATGTGGAGATGCTGCTTATTAGTTAAGACACCTAATTTTAACTAACGACTCTTGGATTAAATTTCCACCTCACCTACTTAAATGTAAGCATCTAAGTACTATCATAAGTCCTGACCCATCAAGTTTAGATTTTTAGCTCTAGTAGATGGGAAAACATGAACATGGTGACTGACTTATACCACTTTTTCTCATTTTTATCTGGCCTTCTCGGTTAAAAAGGTCTATGAAAATGGAAAAAAGACGTTTTTGGAGTTCATAATATCCTACCTTTATTATGGACCCGACGCAACTTTAAGAGTTTAGCATTTGATACAATGAAAGATCCGAAATGTGGCTTTCCGTTGGCTTGAAACTGGAGAAAAAATGTTTAAATTAGTGTACCATGAGACATTTGAAAAGCATGTTGGTTTGCGGTTCTTTGGTGAAAATGTCTGTCCCTACTCCACTTAAAAGGTTTGGCTAACCTTCACACAGTATATGAGGCTCATTGATAAATGTATGACAAAGCATCTAGTATATCAAGTGTTTCCTTTGTTATTCACAAATAATTTTTGTCCTACTTGTTTTATTCCTTTCTTAGGTACCACGTAATCACCACCCTCATAAACCAAATGGCTTATGTATTCATGATATATTCCGTTTGTACACAGTGCTTTGTGCATCTTCTAATTTTAGTTTACCGTACTTAGTTTCAGCCAATCCACATATTCGATTTACTGAGTATCCTAATTGTATGAATTCTTCGTCTTCATCTTCATATTATTCTCTCCCACCGATTCAACCATCGAAATTTTGTCCTTGTTATACTTTTCAATTTCATAAACGTCATCATCGTCATTGTTCTAAGATTAGTCTACTATCACTTGTACAGTTCGGTGAAGTTAACGGTTTAATAAGACGAATTCAGTGTTATCCAATCAGTGATAAATTAGCAATACCTGATGAACAAACTAGTAATCATCGACTACCGTCTGTTGCATCATTATCAAAAGAATCCTCCTCGGCAACTTCAGCAGTCATAATTACACCAAATTCTAGTATGAATTCAACACTACGTCAGATAAAAACTCATTCAAATTCTTTACGACATAATCCAAGTAAATTTAGTAAAAAACCAAAAATAATCAATGAACAAATGTGGTCTACGGCAAAATCTATGCTAATGGATGGTCAGCATAGTTTAGACTCAATTATCACCTTTATGGTAATGAATAATGACAGTTCAGTAGAATCTCCACCAACTGTACATAAAATACCAGAGCATATAACTGAAATATCTCAATTATACCGTTTTGATGAGTGTCTGAGTGGACAAATGCCTCATAATGATCATGATATTTCTCAGATAAATAGAAGCAAACTGTCGAACAGCTTTAGTTTTAGTCCTGATGATACAATCGTTAATAATAACAGTCAAATTGTTGAAGAAATAATTGCGCATGATCGAATATTAGACAACAGATTATGGTCTAAACCAGAGGATTGCATGACTGCATTTATAGGCCCACTGGATCTAGACAAAACACACTTGACATTACCAGATCTGTACTGGATGTGGCGTTGAAGAAAAAAGAATATTAAAAGTTGGCTGTGTCTTTCTTCCCCTCTCTCTGTCTCTGTCTCTCCCACGCACACGCACATTCTCAGTCTCTTTTTGTAATACTTATCACCTAACTATCAATTCGAACTGACTTAATTGATTTTTATTTGTATATTAAAGAATGATCATAATTTCACTTAAGTGTATAGTTTCAAAGTTATATTAATTTCAGTAACTGTTTTGTCTTACCTTTTATACTGTAAAAAGTATAAATACGCTTAAATTGTATGGTAGTGTGTTTATTGGTGTATTTTTTTTAGTGATTTTCGTTACGCATTTATCATATCAAAGTAGTGGGCACTTAGATTACAATCAGTGAGTTACAGATGCGGTAAAAACAGCATTCCCTACTGCTGAGTTACGCTGTGTCTTCAAAACCACTCCTCTTTTGCGTTCGGGAGTAAAAGAGAAACTGTCTAATTTTGCCTCATCCATGTGTATCTACCAATTTAACTGCCCCTGTGGAGTGAGTCAGTTACATAGGCCGTACAATTAGGCGTGTTTCTTGTCGGATTTCCAAACATCACCCTGCATAGTGGTTAAGTAAAGGACAAACAAAATCTATTCGCAGCGCTATTCTATCCCATCTTGTGGATACAGAACACAAGATTGACGTTAACCAGGCTTTCGAAGTCATTGACCGCATACCAACAAGTCGTAACTTCGCCTTAAGAGTTCGAATACTAAATATTGCCGGGTCCGTTGGGGATGCACATTAAGAAGCCTAATTTATGTGTGCCAGTTTAGTAAGTATACTTACCTTGGCTATCTAGGTTTGAATGATCCTCAATTTTTATGGAAATTTCCCTAATTTTAGTTGATATTCTATTTGCTAATATATATTTATTATTATTACTACTATTATTACTATTATTTAATCATCTTTAATGAACTAAAATTCCATTGATCTTACTTTACAAATCGATATTATTTAAAAATCACTAACATTGATATTGACTACTATTCTATATATATATATATATATATATATAATTGTAGGGCCAGAAGAGGAAATTAGCGAGAAGGATATTTTTCGCTCAATTATTTTGTGTTTTATAGTTACAAATGTGTTACTTACTGCATCTATTAAGGAATGAGAAGGCGAGTGGCACTAAAGTGCGCATTAAATACTAAAACTGTTTCATGACGTCATATAAAATCCTCAAAGTTTTTGATGTGGTTTTGTTCTCTGAGCTGGATGGTTAGTTTGCGAAGCTTTCATCACCTTACTGGGTGACATCTTCAGCGCATACTTCAATTTGAAGTGAGCTTTTAGATTTCTCCACGAGTTTATTAATCATCTCTCCTGGTGACCTTGGACGTGATTGGTTGTTTGTGTGTGTTTTCACACCTTCTAGGTTACTTGTATTGGAACCGGTTGTTTCTTTGACTTGAACTTTGACCCTTTGTGTGTGAAGTTTCTTTCTTATTGGTTGATAAATTTTGTCTATCTCGATGTGTCTATTGATTGATGATCCACTGGAATGCCAAGCTTCTAAAAATTCTCTAGCATTCTTGTTATTTCCTTTGTCTAATATTTGAACGTTGTCCCAGTCGAATTGATGTCCGTAGTTGTCTGTGTGTAGTGAAATGAGGGAGTGGATATCATGTCTTTTGACGGCTAGCTTATGTTCGTGGATACGAAGACGAAGGGGACGTCCACTTTGGCCGATGTAGTGTTTTTCGCAGTTGTTACAGTTTATTTTGTAGATGATGTTGGTTTTGTCTTCTTTCGCTGTTGAGTCTTTTGGTTGACATAGAATTGAGTGCAGCGACTTTGTTGGTTTGTGTACGACGTCAATTCCTAAAGGTTTGAAGAGTCTTGTAGTGATTTCTGAGATATCTTTTATATATGGTAAGGCAATTTTCTTTGTGCTTTCCTTGGTGGCTTTTGCTTTGGTAGGTTGGCTTGGGGGTATATGTCTCTTGATGAAATTCCGTGGATATCCATTCTTTTGGAAGACGTCCATGAGATACTTTTCTTCAATTTTTCTTAAGGTGGGAGTGCTGCAGTGAGTCCTTGCTCTCTTGAATAGTGTTTGTATGCAATTCCTTTTGTGTGTTATTGGGTTGTTGCTGTTGTAATTCAGTATTTGGTCTGTGTGAGTTGATTTCCTATAAACTTGAGTTTCTAATTCTCCTGTAGTTGTTCGCCTGACTAAGACGTCCAAAAATGGTATTTTGTTCTCGGATTCCTCTTCTCTTGTGAATTTGATGTCGTTGAAGACGTTGTTTATTAAGTTGTGAGTTTTATCTAATTCGTTTCTTTTGATGATTACAAATGTGTCGTCGACGTAGCGTATCCAAATCTTGGGTTTGATCTTTGGTAGAATTATATTTTCGAGTCTTTGCATCACTGCTTCTGCAATCAAACCTGATATTGGCGATCCCATGGGTGTTCCTTTGACTTGTTCATATATTTGGCCGTTGAATTGGAAGTATGTTGTTAGGCATAGATTTATGCATTCCATCCAGCTTGTGTGTTGCATTTTTGATTGTTGTGGCAGTTGTTCGTCGTTGCTAAGTAATTGCTCCATGGTTTCTTTTGCTAGTTTTGTCCGATAGAGGTATATAATGCTGTCACGTCGAAGGATACCATTATTTCTTGTTCATCTATTTGGATGCCTCTGATTTTCTCTAGGAATTGGATAGCAGAGTTGATGGAGTGATCGCAAGATTCCGTTAGGTGTTTTAGTTTTCTGTATAATTCTTTGGATAAATTATATGTTGGAGTTCCTGGGAGTGATACAATTGGTCGTAATGGGATATTTGCCTTGTGTATTTTGGGTCTGCCGTAGAATCGGGTAGGACTGGTCCATTGGATTTCATTCGCCATTGGTCTTGTTTTGTGATCTGTCCAGTTTTGGTGAGCTTGTTTAAGGTCCTTTGGATGCGGTTATCCAATGTTTGTATGGGATTTGTTGGGAGTTGTTGATATACATCTTCATCTTTGAGTAGTTCTTCAGCTTTCTTGGTATATTCTTCTCTGTCCATGACTACTGTTGTTCTTCCTTTGTCGGCTGGTAAAATGACGATGTCCTTCCTATTTTTCAGCTTTTTGAGGGCCTTTAGTTCTTGAGCGTTGAGTTGTGTGTGTTGTCTTTTCTGTTTGACCATTGGTACAATTGTTTGGCGTATCTCTTCCTGTGTTTCCTCGTTCAAGTTTGATGATTTGAGTAATGATTCAAGGCAGCGAAGAAATCAGTTTTTGAAGCATCTCCGGTGTTGTAGTTTAATCCTTTTTGTAGTAGTTGTTGTTCCATTTTTGATAGTGGTTGTTTTGATAGGTTGACTACGCAGTCTATGGGCGTATTGTCTGGTTGTTGTTTTCTAATCTTGGCTAGCTTGGTTTTGAGGACTCTTCGTCTTTGTTCTCTGTGTTTTTCACTTGACAGTGTAATTGCGGTGATCAGCGTTGACAGGTGTTCTGGTTGAGGGTTTTCTCTAATTTTGCTTTTTGGATATCTATAATTTGTTGATATTTGTTGATCCGATAATGTGCGTCTGTAATCATTAATTTGACCATTCGTCTTCCACATTGTTCGGCCAATTTCCATCCCATTGGGCAGTTGACTGGTGGTTTGTATCTTACACTGTTTGGTAGGATTGAATGACGAAGGCACTCATGGAGAAAGAATAATTGTTCTCTGGTGGATCCTTGCCTTTTGGCGAAGTCTTCCCACTTTCGAACAGAGAGAAGCGTATCCCGCTCGTAAGATTTAGATATGATAGAGAAGATTTGTAGACATGATATCCACTCCCTCATTTCACTACACACAGACAACAACGGACATCAATTCGACTGGGACAACGTTCAAATATTAGACAAAGGAAATAACAAGAATGCTAGAGAATTTTTAGAAGCTTGGCATTCCAGTGAATCATCAATCAATAGACAGATCGAGATAGACAAAATTTATCAACCAATAAGAAAGAAACTTCACACACAAAGGGTCAAAGTTCAAGTCAAAGAAACAACCGGTTCCAATACAAGTAACCTAGAAGGTGTGAAAACACACACAAACAACCAATCACGTCCAAGGTCACCAGGAGAGATGATTAATAAACTCGTGGAGAAATCTAAAAGCTCACTTCAAATTGAAGTATGCGCTGAAGATGTCACCCAGTAAGGTGATGAAAGCTTCGCAAACTAACCATCCAGCTCAGAGAACAAAACCACATCAAAATCATCCACCTGAGCTACAAATCTTCTCTATCATATCTAATCCTCAAAGTAGTTCTGCATTATTTTATCGATTTCTTATTTTAAATATTTCTTTTTCTTACTAATTAAATATTATGTTTGTTGATCATTTCAGTTTGCATAAAATATGCTGTCAGGCATGACATTGATTGGGGATTTTTCCCCTTTGTGGGTCTTGATTGTTAATAAACCTTTTCTGAAGTAGTCATGACCATGTAGCCTATGTCATTTAGTAAGTACTACTTGCCTTAATAAATCATACATAATTACTTTGTGTTATTCACAGTTAGAATGACTGTGAATTATGGGTTGATGACTAGGGATTGGTTTTGTGACGTACTTTTACTGAGATGATTACCTGATGTTGTTAAATGTGGATGCAGTCATAAGCAGGTGCATGTACTCTTAGCGAAAATGACAGCCAACTAAGTTTGAATGAAAAACGTGGTTTACTGTATCAGATCACCAATAATCTGATTAGGTGGACTACACTTTTTCATAGTTTTTGCTTTTTCTATACACTATTATAGATAGATTATTCATTGTCAGATACTACTGTATTTTTGTCTGTGTTCTTCAGTGTAATCGGACCCACAATGGGCAGTTAGAAGTAGTATAATTTCATGATTAAGTATATTGTTGTTCATTTCGTCGTTTGTTATTTCTCTTATCTCGTCACAGTAGTATTTACTTATCTGTGGTCGGAAAACGCTTTCTTACCATAAGACTAATATCATACAGATTACATGGTATTATATTT